CTGAAAGTTCAGGAAGCCTCTCAATTGCTCTTAAAACCAGAAGTGGTCTGGATAAGCACAGGAGTTCACGATGTAACTAGGGTCGGACCCTCTTTTTTCAGTGGATGAAGGAATAATGAGGATAACTGAATAGTATACTGTTTTAAAAAGTCTTCCCCTGAAGGGCCATGTGATCACTATCCAAATCAATTTTTTTTTTTTTTTGGTTGGGGGAGTACTGGAGGATTGAATCTGGGCACTTGACCACTGAGTCACATCTCTAGTCTTATGGAAACTCATTTATTTAGAGACACAGTCTGAATTGTTAGGCCGGCTTTGAATTCTCTATCCTCCTATCTCAGCCTCCCAGGCTGCTGGGATTACAGGCGTGTGACACCGCGTCCAGCACTATCCAAATCTTAAATGTATTTCCCTTAAGACAAAAGTCAGGTGCAAAGATATGCATAGCAGAGCTTTCTACCTTGCAGTGTACACTGTGATATTAGCTGTCAAATGCAAAACTGGAATAATTTAAAGAACTGGTAAAATAATGAACAGCTATGCAACATTGTGTAGCCTTAGAGAGAGTGAGATAGATTGAACAAAGAAGATGGCAGAGAGCACAGTATTTGAGTGCTCTTACCAGGCATGGTGGCACACAATGTAATTCCAGGGACTCAGGAGGCAAGGCAGGAGGATGGCAAGTTTGAGGCCAGTCTCACACTTAATGAGTCTCTGTCATAAAATTTTCATTTATTTGTTTGTTTGTTTGTTTACTTATTTATTTATTGAGACAAAAATCTGTTTTATTTTACATATCCCTGATTGCTAGGGATGTTGAACATTTTTTTCATACAATTGACTATTTGTATTTCTTTTTGAGAAATGTCTGTTCTTTTGGCTATTTATTGATTGGTTTATTTGGATTTTTATATTAAGTTTTTTGAGTTCTTTATATAGTCTGGATATTCATCCCCTGTTAAAGGAGTAGCTGGCAAAGATTTTCTCCCATTCTGCAGATTCCCTCTTCTCACTCCTGTTTCCTTTATTGTACAGAAGCTCTTAAATTTGATTCCATCTGACTTATTGATTCTTGGTTTTATTTTTTTGAATTTTAGGTATCTTGTTAAGGGAGTTAGAGACTGCAAAAATGTGTTGGGATGATTATGTTTTCTTTTAGCAGTTGCAAAGTTTCTCATCTAATTTCTAGATCTTTGACCCATTTTAATTTAACTTTTGGGCAGGGTGAAAGATCGGGATCTAGGTCCATTCTTCTACATCCAATTTATCCAGTACCATCTTTTCTCCAACATATGTTTTTGGCACTTTCACTGTGCCCAAATGAAATTATTGTATAATGTGGGTTTGTCTCTTTATCTTCTATTCTATTTCATTGGTCTTCATGTCTGTTCATTTTTTTTAGTTGTAGTTGGACATAATAACTTTATTTTATTTATTTTTCTATGTGGTGCTGAGGATCGAACCCAATGCTTCTCACATGCTAGGCAAGTGCTCTACCACTGAGCACAACCCCAGCCCTTCCTGTCTGTTTTGATGCCAATACTATGTTGTTTTTGTTACCAAAGCTCTATAGTATTATTTGAGATCAGGAGAGAAACTTAATGTCATAAAGGGACATGTCAAATATGTACAACAGGCAGCTAAGATATTTTTAAATCCATTTGCTAAATGCTCTTCTACTTTGTATATATTTGAATAGAGAGAGAAAAATGGCTAGAAAGAAAAAAAATCGTATTTGGAAAACATGAGAGAGGTAGTTTCAGTTCTTATTTTTCAAACTTCCATCCAACATTTTCAGTCATACTTGTTTTTTCTTCAAAAAAAAAGCATATGTTACTTTTTCAAAATGTTCAAAGACTTTTTTGAGGAAAAAGAATTTAAAAATGCATTTACTGTCCAGTAGATCTAACATCAGAATACTCATAAAGACAACACTGGCATTATTTTCGGTAAACATCTGAGCAGAATCTAATACTGGGCCCTGGGTGGATGAAATAGAGGGTGTAATGCAACTTGCTCACCCATAAGGAATTTATGATACAGGAAAGTAAATAAAGGAACAACAAAAAGCACTCTCAGGTGGCACCATCCACTTAGTGCCCTGGAGTGCAGGGAGGAAGAAGCCAGGACTGGGGCTTCCGGTGACAGGTGATGGGTGAGGGCTGAGCAGGGGCACTGAAGGCCAAATGCTGATGCAGAGACCTGGGAAGGCAGGAGCTGGACTCTGCCAGGCATATGGAGGATGTTCTGGGGGGATTCTTGGCAGTTCCAGTGGCCAGCCTTCTGGTTCTCCTGAGGCCAAGGATGGCAATAAGGATAAGACCGTAAACCCATAAGTTGCAGGCCCATTCACCCAGCTGTTTCTGAAAACAGCTGTTTTTGTTCTCTGGGAGGAAATTAAATGAGCCCTTGCAATTGAGAGGCACCTCTTCAGTAAAGATTCCAGGCTGTGTGTAAGCAGTCCCTGGAACAATTACCATGGCCCAGCCCTTCAAAATGACTGGCCATTACCAGAATATCTTCAGTGTCGTGTTCTGCTGCAGGGCCCTGGCAAGGCTCTTTCCTCCTTCTGTGGAGATACAGTTGGCTGCAAGACTAGGAAGGAAAACAACTCATTAGAGACGGGTTCACATTTGGCCTTGGCGTCAATACCGAAACAGTGGGGAAGCCTCATCTGGATGTGGCACCTCCCAGGCCAACCTGGGGGAGCACATGGAAGAGCTCAGTCATGTCAGCAGCTGCCCAGGCCTTGCTGCTAAAGAGTCATGCTCAGGACAGACACAAGACTGAAGACCAACTGCTCCAGCAGTGTCCAGACGGATAAAGGACACAGAACTCAGGTTTTCATACGCAGGGTAGAGGCTGAGGAGGCCAGGGCACTCCGCCACATTTGCGGGCCCCATCAATGAGAACCTGAGAAGTCTCTCCTGCTATTACTCCCACTGTCTTGGACTCCTTTCAATGGCACTTGGGACAGAGGCAGAGCTTGGGAGACACCAAGGCTCCAGGATTAGGCCACAGGCCTGAAGGAGGGTTGGGAAAGGGGAACTCCAATTCCAGAGGGGAGGGGTCCCCTCTGTCCCAGCACCATCATGAGGGAAAAGGGGCAGGAATCTATCAACTAGCATTCTTTTCAGTTTTATCTACTTAGGAATTCCTCCCTGATCTCCAACAGCACTTGAATGGCTGCAAAATATCTCACATCTTGATCTAGTTGGTGGCTACATTGATGTGAGTCTGCTAAAACTCCTTGAGCTGAACACTTAAAAATAATGTACTTTCTTGTTTCCCTCTTGCACATCAAGAAAAAAAATTAGAGAAAGAAAAATCACACCAGCAAATCCCTGACAAATTTGGAAAGCCACCAGCTCTCTCCCCACCAGCTCCTCCCCTGGAGAGCTCAGAATGGCCAGGATCCCTGTGGGCCTTGGAGCCCCAGGCGCAGCTCTTACCTTAGATTGATCAGGCTGGGGTGGTTCTTCAGAGCCTCTGCGAAAGCTTTGGCTCCTTCATCCCCTATTTGATTGCCCCACATCCTAAGGACAGAGATAGTCAGCTCAAGTTAGCTCCTCCCACTCGGCCAGGCTCCCCCTTTTTTTCTGTCAGTAGAGGCAGCTGTTTCACTCAGTCCCTAGAGCTGTGGCCTGGACATCTATTTCTCATGTTGGCCCCTAATGGATTGCTCTGGATTTCCAATGCAAGGCAGAAGCATAGAGAATAAAGAGCCCCGGGAACAGTGGTACACGCCTGTAATCCCAGATGCTCAGGAGGCTGAAGCAAGAGGATTGGAAGTTCAAAGCCAGCCTCAGCAATGGTGAGGTGCTAAGCAATTCAGTGAGACCCTGTCTCTAAATATTTAAAAGGGTTGGAGATGTGGCTCAGTGGCTAAGTACCTCTGATTTCAACACCCAACACCAAAAGAAAAAAAGAGAAAGAGAGAATAAACAGCAGTGGAGACCTTGTGAACAGATGTTGTCATTCAGGAAGTTGCACAATTAGAGACCAGGTCTCGCTGCAAAGTTTTGGAGAGCTGCCAGTTGAGAGTCTCAGCTCCTGATTGACTCAGAAAGGAACTACCTGCATGTCACCTTCAGAGTACAAAAGTCCATGCTGGCCTGAAAGGACAGCCATGTGCAACACTGAGTGGTACAAGCAGCACCTGCAAAGTGTCTTCAGGATGCAAGGGTCAGGACCCCTGGGCACCAACTGCATCAGCAGCATTCCTCATATGTGGAGAGAAATGTCAGGAAGTCAGGCACCAAGGACTGCTGCAATCTTGGTGGGCAGCTGCAACAATGAAGCTGACTTTTGTCCCCAGAATGGGTGATCTGAGATCTGGCTAACATGGTCTGCATGGTAAGGTGCCAGTCTCCCATCCTGGCTCTGCCACCTACTACCTGTGGATCCCTGGGAAAATTATATAACACAGTGGACCTCAGTCTCCTCATCTGTAAAATGGGTATGATAAGAGCATTCCCTCATAGAGTGGTTGTGTGTGAGGATGTGTAAGTTAACAGATGCAAAGCATTTAGAACACCATCCGGCCTGTAAAAAATGTCAGCTATTCCTAATAGGACAAGGGGCCTCCATTTACAGAAAGCAGTCTGCCCGGCCCACTCACAATACAACCATGGCTACCTCAACAACAGGTCCAGCAGCTGCCTGCCTGCGTCCTTCCAGGCAAGGCCTGCTGCTGCCCCAGAACAAGAGTTTTAAGTTTTTGCTTAAAAAATGCAAAACTATACAACTGAATGGTATCAAATATTTAATAAGGTGGCAAACTACTCATGACCTGAGAGTAAGTGAAAAATGAAGGATAAAATTCTGTATATGTAGTCTGACCTCTACCCTATTAAAAAAAAATAATAGTGGGGGAAAGAGAAAGTGGGAGTGCTTCAATAGCTTCAAATGCTACCAGTAATTATTTCTGAAAAGAAAATTACTTTTTATATTTTCCACAGTTTTAAAACAAAATTACCATTATTTTTATAATCTCATAGAATTATAATGATACAGTTCAGAAGCTTCTTAACCTCAATGAGATGCCACCTGTCATCCACTAAGATGGCAGTTACTATTAAAACAACAAGTGTTGGTGAGGATGCCGGGGAGCAGGATGGGAATGTAAGACGGAACAGGCACCTGGAGAATAGCACAAGGCCTCCTCAAGAAATTAACAATAGAATCATCACAGAATTCAGCATTTCCAGAAGAATTAAAAGCAGGATCTCAAAGATTATGTCTTTGTATGCCTTTGTTCCTAGGAGTCTTATTCACAATAATTTGTGACAGTTAAATATGGAAGTAACCAAATGCTTGCTGCTGGATGGGTGGATGAGCTGTCCAATCAAAAGCCTCAGCTCCTGACTATCTCAGAAAGGAACTACCCGTGTGTCACCTTCAGGGTACAAACATACATACAATGGAGCATTATTCAGTCTTAAAAAGGAAGGAATCACAGGGCAAAGTGATCCACACCTGTAATCCTAGAGGCTCAGGAGGCTGAGGCAGGAGGACCTCAAGTTCAAAGCCAGCCTCAGCGATGGTAAGGCACTAAACAGCTCAGGGAGACCCTGTCTCTAAATAAAACACAAAATAGGGAAGGGGATGTGGCTCAGTGGCTAAGTGCCCCTAAATTCAATTCCTGGTATGCCCCCACACACATAAAAAAAAAAAAGGAAGGAAGCTGGCATGTCACATGACCAACCTTGAGAATATCATGTTAGCTGAAATAAGACATCACCAAAAGACAAGCACTATGTGATTCCATTTACACGAGGTGCCCAGAGTAGTCAAATTCAAAGAGATAAAAAGCAGAGCAGGGGTTGCTGAGGGCCAGGGGAAGGAGGAAAGGAGAGTTACTGCTTAATGGATGAAGAGTTTATTTTGCAAGATAAAAAGAATTTTGGAGATGGATGATGGTGATGGTTGTGTAATGATATGAAAGTACTTAATCCCACTGAACTGTACAATTAGCAATGGTGAAGATGGTCAATTTTATACATATTTTACTACAATTTTAAAAATTGAAAGAAAAAAAAACCTTCAGAGGATAGATTTCCTTAAAGTAAGAGCATCTGCCTGTGTTAACCACCACATAGAGCTAGAGAAACTCCCTCCATTTGCTGGTGGCAATAATGCTGAGTTTGCATGACTTAAACATGTCTGTGCAGTCAGATTTATAATCAACCCTGGGTCTTCCCACACCATTTCCATGCAGAAGCTGCTGGGACATCTCTCTTTCTGCCTCCTCACAGCCAGACCCAGCAGTCCCGCTACATTGATGTACAAAAGACCACTGGGCGCCCACATACACCCAGAAGGTCACACACCCCATGTGTGCGTCCCCTTCTACTCACCCAATCTCAGAGATGGATGTGCTGTTCTTCACAGCCAGGGCCAGCCACTTCCCTCCTTCGCTCGATATCTTGTTTTTCCCCAGTCTGCAGAGAATTCCCGCACAGTCAGCCTCCAGCTGTGCAGTCAGGACTCCAATAGGAGCCTCCCTCCTCCCCAGCTTGGAGCCCCTCCCAGCCCCTCTTGCCAGTCTGTTCCTGCTCCTGGGATGTACAGCAGCCAAGCCCTGGGCCTCCTCTTAGGAAGTCACCTGAAGCCTTGGGGATAGCCAGACAGGGGTCCTCTGCAGGGGACAGCCCATAATCTCTGCAGAAAGTTAGTGACCTGAGCCCTCCTGGGCTTCTTTACATGGCCTCAGGACCATCTATTCCACCAGGAGGCCTGAAAGTGCCCACTTCAATTACTCATGATCAAGGTGTGCTTCCATCGCCAGGTGGACCAAGGCACTCTGTCACCTTTGGCAGGGCATTTCTATGACAGGGCCAAGGATCAAGCTCTGGCTTGCCATCATGTGATAAGTTCCCTGCGGATGGATACAGATCTTTTTCTCTAGTATTCCAGAAAGGGCGATAGGTCTTTCTTCTTGGTCAGTCTTTAATGAAATCGAAGTGCCAAGCTCTCCCTGCCTCCTTCCCCCTTCCCCCAGCTGGCTGTCCCTTCCAAAATCTGAGCCTCTGGCTTGGTCATGCTTTCTCTGCAGAACTAGCTCACTTTCCATACAACAGGTCTCCTGCATTTGACTGGCATGGTCCTGGGGCAGGCAGAAGACTTGAGGATAAAAAGGAGGATAAAAGCTGTTTACAATGACATTTATTCTTCTAATAATGGAAGGGGTGACCCAAAGAATCGAAGAAGAAAAGAGGCTACTAAGGAACTTCACACCAGACCCCACTTACTTACTTCAGGTGGGTGAGGGCCTTGCATTCATCCAGGATTTGGGCGACGTACCTGGCTCCCACATCCGTGATCTGGTTGTTGTATAAACTTGAAAAGAAAGCACAGTCAGGTCACTTAATGACTCCTGAGGTCATATGAACACCCGCTTTTCCTTTCAGTGTGTGCTGCTTACTGAGTTTCAAAGTGTGTTGAAAGGACACACAGGACTGTGTGGTCTCAGCCTGGCTTCAAGACCAGCTCCACCACTGGCCGCCTCTGTCTCAGTCTCTCTGTCTATAGTGGGGGTGACAATCATGGCTCCTCATGGGGTTGGTTGTCATGAGGAGCATGCAACATGGTGCATAGTCCTGGCTGGGAAGTGCTTGGTTCACCAAGCCATTCATGCAGATGATGATATGTCAATCAGCACATAGTCAGTCTCTTGAGGGGAAGAAGTTTCTCTCTGAAGACATTCTTTCATGTCTACCCCTTAGTCGTTTTTACCACTCAATTCCAATTCAGCAATAAGGCAGAAAAAAACTAAGCTGAGGCTTTGAGGACCCCAATGTCACACAGCATTCCTGAGTAGAAAGAGAGGTAACCCGGAATCATCTGCTTCATTGTCCTTGTTCCAAGAAGGAGCTGACTGAGGCCCAATGCAGCTGAGCAACCACTTTGGCTCACAAAATTGGTGGTAACCTGGGTGGGACAGGGTGGAGTGGGTGGGTAAGATCCCTTATCTCAAACTCCACAATCCCAAAGGCTCTGAAAACCTAAAGTGTCTCATAGTTGTTTTGGCAACCAATGTGAACCTATTTATGGTCTCTATTTACCCTACTTGGTCTGAATATTCACACATTTCTCTGCAGAAATATCAAGGATAAGGATAATGGGGTGCTGCCCTGGACCCCTCTGGCCATGTCACTACTACAAAGCAAATACACCAAACCCTGATCCATGGCTTGGCCCAAGGGTTCTAGAGGAGGGATTATGGACTCACAGTATGAAAATCTAATATATAAACAGTATTTTTTTGGCAGGGGGATTACTGGGGATTGAATTCATGGGTACTCGACCACTGAGCCACATCCCCAGGCCTATTTTGTATTTTATTTAGAGATAGGGTCTCACTGAGTTACTTAGTGCTTTGCTATTGCTGAGGCTGACTTTGAATTTGCAATTCTTCTACGTCAGCCTCCAGAGCCTCTGGGATTATAGTCGTACACCACTGCACCTGGCCACAAACAGTATTTTAATGTTTACAAAACTTACTCCCATGTATTTCTTCCAATAATCAGGAATTAGATGACCTGCTTGGATTAGGATCCCCATTTATAAATGAGGAATCTGAGGCTCAGCAAGCATTCAGGCTGAGGCAGGAACAGACCCCAGGCACTCGCCACCCACCACCCTGATCCTGGCCAATATGCTGGGGACCCACATGGATGGCAACTTCGGCTGCTTAATATCATTACTAGGTTAGTTGGCCCAGTGTTCCTGAGAAGGACATACCCCAAATACTCCAGGATTTTGTACTTGGTCAGCTCTTCACACAGCACCTTCACACCACTGTCTGTGATCTGGTTGACACTGAGTCTGAAACACAACAGCAAAGACAATGACAAATTAGGGCAGTTTCTAAATCAGAGGGAAGAGGCTGGGGTCAGTAAACCTCTGCAAACAGCCAGTGAGCAAATAATTTAAGCTTTGCAGGATGGTTTCCAGCCTCACCACTCAACTCTACAGTGTAAAGCAATCAGTAAGTAATCCAGGGGTACGGCTGAGTTCTAATAAAGCTTTATTGACAAACACAATCCATGGGTCGAATTTAATCCATAAGCTGACTTCTGTAATAAGTTAAAGGCCAAACAGGTAAAAGCTTGATTTTTAGGCCACATCAAAATGATCAGGTCAGACACTCCAGACCCTTCCCCCTATTGTAGCCAGATTGGTGGTGGTGTACAGTGTGCACATGTCCTGTATGGTCATCCCAGGTTGACAAAGGCTATTAGTCACTTCCAGTGTCTATGCTTTCTTAATAGAAACCTCCCTCCTTTTTTACTTGACATCCACATTTCAATTCCACCAGTGAAATTGAAGAAGCAGTATCATTAGCGGTAGTTGAACAGTCTTTTTAAAATAATGAGATTTGCTCTTTTTAGCCTTTTCCTTTGTCCTGGTGGCTAGATTGCTGAGCATGGGTAGCCATGTTGGGTCAAAGTGTAGAAGCAAGATAGTGAGAATGGCATTAGAACAAGGCAGAAGAGAACCTGGGCTCCTGATGGTTATGGAGACACTATACCAGCTCTGCATTACCTACCTCTAGCCTTTGCATAAAATAGAAATAAGCTTAAAACTTATTTAAGCCATCAAGATTTTGTAGTTTATCTAACTCTCAGCTGAAATGAATCCTATCAGGAACCCTCGGGGGAAATCAGAGAGCTTCCCCATGGTTGCCCATAGCCTCCTACTTTCCTGTGAGCTGTTTTTCCTTTCCTGGGGACAGCAGAATGGAGCAGGACCACCACACTGCTGCCAAATATCTCTCATAGGATGGGTGCAAGGTGGCACAGGATGACAGATTGCCAAAGGCTGCAGAAGAGAGAGCGATTGGCTGCCAGGGCAGAGGACAGGTTCCAGGCTTTCAATTCCCAGGCCAGAGAAGCCTGCAGCTCCCGGCACTCCACGTGCCCACACAGATTCCTCTCTGGTACTGGTACATCAGGCCCTGGGAGGCAGGTGCAAATCCCCACTGCTCTTCAGAAATATATGAGCCAAGTAGTAGAGAATTCCAGGCTGGTAAGACTGACAAGGTTTGTTCTATGCAGGAAATGCTAATAGACAAGAGCAGACTGGCCTCTTTCCTGAAAACCCTCAAATGGGAAAACTACCATGTGGCAGCGTTTTCACCAAGCTCTCCAGCAGCAAATAGGGCTGCTGATTTGACCATGGAAGGCAACTCATGCCAAGCAGCTCCAGGTCTGCTTTCTCTGTAGTCATGAAACCTCCCTCATGCCAGAAACTTTTCACAGGCTATCTTTCAATTGGTCTTCTTTATGCCATCTTTATTCTGGTTCTCA